AAATAAACAGAATCTTACCCACCAAGTTATTTAATTTTTTTACAAAACAACCTTATCACCTTCAAAGTACTCTCTATTACACTTAATACATTCGTCAAATCTGTGATTCCATTCTTGGAAACTCATCTGTTTGGAGGGCTGACAGCACCTCCCTTGTTTTTCGCTTCACCTCTGCTACATAGACAAATCGCTGCCCTCTCATGCCCTTCTTCATTCACGGAAACAAAAAGAAGTCCAGGGAGCTAAGTCAGGTGAGTAAGGTGTGTGTGGCAAGAGAAGCATGCTGTTTTTTGCCAGAAACTGGCACACTGAGATGGATATGTGAGCAGGTGCATTGTCGTGGTGGCAAAACCAGTCCCCCTCTGCCACAAACCAGGTCTTTTTGGTCATGCACTGTTAGGCAATCTTTTTAGAACCTCTTAACAGAAAGCTTGATTAACAGTCTGACCTGGTGGAATGAACTCCCAATGCACTACACATAGACATTTTTGACTGTTTGTTTATCATCAATCAGCACTTCACCTTTTTTGAAATGAGAAAACCAATCGTACACTTGAACTTTTCCCATAGCACTGTCTTTGTAAGCTGTTTTCAACATCACAACAGTTTCTGTAGCATTTTTCCCAGGCAGGAAACAAAATTTCACAGCCATACACTCTTCTCTTAAATCAGCCATCACAAAAAAATGAGTTTTGAGCGTTAACTGTTTTCACAAAAAATTCACTGACCAGAGAGAACCTTCCCAGGCAATGCCACTGGGTGCACTAACTCAGAGCCAGTTGCTTGATGCTCGTCTAGCAGAGCTTTTTTTCCAGTTCTTTTGGAGGGATTGCCCCCTGATATGTGCAAAGGGCCATGTATGAGGATAGTCACAAGTGCTATTTATAATAATTGAAATCTGGAAAACAACTGACATGTTTATCAAGAGACAAGTTTGATTATTTCGCAGTACAGAACACTAAGTAATAGCCACAGGATGGTACTGAGATGTGGATGAGCTGAAAACAGGGGGGCCAGGTGTAGGCCTACAATCGGCACCATCAGTAATATCTCCAGTTGGTCTTGGTCCTATCCTAGAGCTGTTGGTTGGCCTTCCTTGGGCATCTACCTCAGAGATAGGAGGTGTCCTCTCTGGAGGGGCAGAGATGGGGACGGGACTAGAGAGACTGCAGACTACAAGATATCAAACAAAGCCAGGGGACAAACTGAAGAGAGATAACAAAGTGAAAGCCTGCATGACGACTCCATGTATATATAACAAGACATTGGCGAGTCCTGTATCATCCTCATGATCATCGGCATGCATGAATCCAGTGCCATGGCTAGTGTCAATCCATCACATTAAAAGGTTCCCTGGCCTTCTACAAGATCAAACGTGATGCACTTCTCGTGAAACTAGTCTCTTCCTGACAGATATCCAAAGTAAGCAAACTGAAGTATTGGGCAATATTCAGTGAAAAATAATGGGTAACTTTCAGAGGTTGATCAGCTAGTCTTCCTAATCAGTTATAGTCTGGAAGCTCCGCTGAGACCTGTTCACTATGGTGAAGCAGGAATACCTACTGGTTTTTAAAATACTTAGTGGTATAATGTCTAGATTCATAGCAGTACACCATCGTCACAGTAACAAGAGTCTGTCTGCCGAACAGTTCTGCGGAAAGGGACCCCCACCCCCACCCCCTCCGACTGTTCCTGCCCTCACCCAGGTTCCACATTGTACTTTATTCACTAGGCTCACCTACTCCTCCACCACTCACCTCCATAAGAAATGACCATTGGAAAATACTTAAATCTCAGAGAAAAAAATCAAATATCGGCTGTTGAAATCTGGGGTTCCAATAGGCAGTAAATGATATCCAAGCACACAGAGCTTGCAGGCCCTCCTTTTTTTAGTGTCCCACTCTTAAACATGAAGGGGTAATTAAGGGTTATCAGGCACTGAAAGCTGCAACCTGAAAGAGAGCTCAAACCATCAGAAAAAAGGCACTCTGAGGAAACAAAGCAGGGAACAAGAGAACCTCAGTGGAGACTATAATTAATATACTCAGAAACCAGACAAAAGGCATGGCACCCATGAAGCCAGAACAGTATGCTATTTTGTAAGCATTTGAACAAGAAAGAACTCTTGGATATTACAAAAATATGCATTGAGGAATCACACCTTTATCCTCCTTTCTTGTATAAATGATATCTTAAGGTAACCAAACAGTTGATAAAGGGGAATGTTCTCCTTTGTAAGAAACTTTAGGCAATGAATGCAGCAGAAGGAATGATAGAGCTACAATACTGAGCTAAGAAACTCAGTTTTAAGAGCTAGAGGAATAATTGTGCTAGAGGCAAGGATGTCATAACTTCATCTTCCAACTAAGGGGGTACCCCCCCAAAAACCTAGAATTCTGTTTGGCGGCACGGGCTTTCTTAGTACACATTTTCCCCACTACATGAGCATTCCAGCAACTTGCTTGATCAGACGAAAATGTTGACAGAATCCGTACACTTACACTTGGAAGACCGACCGCAGACCACTGAAGACATGGGGAAGTAATCTGGACTCTCGTGGAGCTCAGTTCTGCAAATCTTAACTGAAGACTTGGGAACGAGAACGGTCGCTGTGAAATCTGTGCCTTGGGTTCTGACTGACCAGGAAAAAGAGCATTTAGTGGAAACATGCGACCTTTGAAAAAACAGCTCCAAAGTGAATCAGACGTTTTTTCCAAGTTCATTACTGCTGCTGAAACATAGTGGTAGTCTTACCACCCCAAAAGCAAACATCAATCAAGCCAGTTCAAGATGCCATCGTCACTTTACCCCAAAAAAGCTCATCAAGTTAAATCAAAGATCAAGATGATACTCATTTGTGTTTGTTTGTTTGTTTGTTTTTTTTAATGTGAGGGGGATAGCACATTTGGAGTTCATTCTACCAAGTCAGACAGTAAATCAAGCTTTCAATGAAGAGGTTCTAAAAAGATTGTCTAACAGTGTACAAGAAAAAAGGCCTGATTTGTGGCTGAGGGGGACTGGTTTTGCCACCATGACAATGCACCTGCTCATGCATCCATCTCAGTGTGCTGGCAAAAAACAGCACACTTGTCTTGCCCCCCACACTGTACACACTTGACCTTGCTCCATATAACTTCTTTTTGTTTACACGAATGAATGGACAGCAATTTGACTATGTAGAAGAGGTAAAGAAAAAATGAGGGAGGTGGTCAGCCATCCAAACAGATGAGTTTGAAAATGTTTCCAAGAATGGAATCACAGATTTGACTAAAGTATTAAGGGTAATGGACAGTACTATGGAGGTGATAAGGTTGTTTTGTAAGAAAAATTAAAGACATAGCTGGTGGGGGCGGTGTGCTGGTTTTTTTTGTGTGTGTACCCCCTTGTACTTTAGACATGTTGTTAGGAGAGACCAGTCCCTGGAGAAAGACATCCTGTTTGGTAGAGAGGTAGCAAAAAGGCCTTCCAGGAGATGGACTGACACAACGCTGCAGCGATAGCCATGCTCAAGCACAGGAACAACTGGGAGGCAGAGCAGAACCAGGCAATGCTTCTTTCTGTTGTGCACGGCATCTCGCTGGGTTGGATCGACTCCATGGCACCTAACAGCAGCAGCACCACCACCGTCTTCTAACTCAGAGGTTCTCAACCTGTGGGTTGCGACCCCTTTAGAGGTTGAACGACCCTTTCACAGGAGTCGCCCGATTCATAACAGTAGCAAATTTAAAGTTGTGAAGTAGCAACAAAAATAATTTTATGGTTGGGGGGTCACCACAACATGAGGAACTGTATTAAAGAGTTGTGGCATTAGGGAGGTTGAGAACCACTATTCTAACTCATAATGAAAGAACAGGGAATACCAATCAGAGTTTAGATTTCCCTGGTTGTCTAACAATAACAAATACATTTACAACCAGGATCCAACTCAGGCTCAAACATTACCTTTGCATCACATATCTCTTAAGTCTCTTAAACAACAGATTTCCTTATCTTTTCCCCCAATAATGATCTTTTTAATCACTGAAGATCAATGAGGAGACTCAAAACATTCATGGAAAAACACAAAGAAAGAAAATGGAATTTTTCTATGAATGATTTGAAGCCCTCTTTTCCATGAAGTTCCCCTGGTAAAATGGAATACTGTAAAACAACTATGAGGGCGGGGAGGAGACAAGCCAGTCAGGGTGCAGGGTAGCAATGATGAAACATACAACTTTCCTCTAGTTCTTAAATGCTTCCTCCCTCCACTATCATGATCCCAATTCTACCTTACAAATCCAGCTAGACCAGAGGATGTACCCTGGTAAAGATAGGAACTGGAAACACAGGGAATCCAGGACAGATGAACCCTTCTGGGCCAGTGGTAAAAGTAGCGATACCGGGAGGGTGGAGGGAAGGTGGGGGTTGAAAGGGGGAGCCGATCAAAAGGGTCTACATGTAACCAATGGGTGAAGGGAGACATAAGGGCAGTGTAAGACATGACAAAATAATAATAATTTAATAAATTATCAAGGGTTCATGAGGGAGGGGGCGGGGAAGGGGGGTAAAAATGAGGAGCTGGCACCAAGGGCTCAAATAGGAAGCAAATGTTTTGAGAATGATGAGGGCAGCAAATGTACACATGTGCTTGATACAATGGATGTATGTATGGATTGTGATAAGAGTTGTACAAGCCCCCAATAAAGTGATTAAAAGTAAACCACCAACTATGAGGTATAACTCAGGTGTAGCTCCATACTTCCAGGCATAGGTTGTTGCCAGTTATGAGTGAATGAAACAGAAGAGGTCATTCAGAGAGGAGGAAAACAGAAACAAACACAGAAAAATATGCTCAACCGCCTAACTGATCTGGTAAAATCAAATTAAAAGATCATTTCACATACATCAGATTGGAAAAGAAACCAAAAAGTCTAATAGTGCCAAGTGTTGGCAAAGATACCCCTCTGAAAAGCCATTTGGGGCCTTCCTCCTTCCTCCCCAGCGGCTCCCGGGAGGGCGAGATGGCAGATGAGATCGCCAAGGCTCGGGTCGCCCGGCCTGGCAGCGACACAATCTTCGGGAAGATCGTCCGCAAAGAAATCCCAGCCAAAATCATTTTTGAGGATGACCGGTGCCTTGCTTTTCATGACATTTCCCCGCAAACACCCACACATTTTCTGGTGATACCTAAGAAGTACATTTCCCAGATTTCTGTTGCAGAAGATGAGGATGGAAGTCGCCTTGTACATTTAATGACTGTTGGCAAGAAACGTGCAGCTGACCTGGGCCTGAACAAGGGCTATCGCATGGTGGGGAATGAAGGTTCGCATGGGGGACAGTCTGTCTATCACGTCCATGTCCATGTTCTCGGTGGTCGGCAGATGAATTGGCCTCCTGGTTAAGCATGCTTTCAGGGATACGTATCCCTTCTCTAGGCAATGATCAGGTCAGCAAGTGCAAATGTATTACACAGTACCCTTAAATTTGCCCGTGTATGGAGAGATTAAGGAAATAATGGGGGGGACCCCATATGTAATAAAAGACATTGTTGAATGGTTAAAAAAAAAAAGAAAGAAAAGCAATTTGGCCATATCTTGTTTGTAAGTATATATAACCTAAAACCCCGCACCTGGTTTCTGAAGTATATACCTTCGAGAAACCCTTGAATATACAAAGGATGCTGCTGGAGCAATGTTTGAAGTACATACTCTAGTAACATAGGAAACAGTTCCATTTTAGAAGAATAGAAAAATGAATAGTATGTTCATAAGATGAAATATATATCAGCGAAAAACAATGAGGAAAAAAACAAACTGCAAAATTACATGAAATGTGAAAGTGTTTACTGGGAGGGAGGAAAGAATTTCATCACTCAGTTATACTCTACTACATAGTAGGTAGGTAGGTGTTTTAAAACATTAAAAAGAAGACTATAACGGGGGTGGGGAGAGGGCAGGGAGGGAGGGAAAAAATGAGGAGCTGATGCCAAGAGCTCAAGTAGAAAGCAATTGTTTTGAAAATGATGAGGGCAACAAATATACAAATGTGCTTGACACAACAGATGTATGTATGGATTGTTAAAAGAGTTGTACAAGCCCCCAATAATATGACTTTTAAAAAAAGAATATATAACAAATTCACAGAAAGGTAATTCTAGGAAGTGAAGTAATAATGAGGGTGGGGTGAATGAAAGTAACTTTATACTTCTGATTCTTTTACTTAGGGAGAACTTTTTTTATTTAAGTAAAAATAAGTTTACTCTATAATTAGATAGATTTTCACATTATTTTCTTTAGTATGAGGGTGGGGTGAATGAAAGTAACTTTATACTTCTGATTCTTTTACTTAGGGAGAACTTTTTTATTTAAGTAAAAATAAGTTTACCCTATAATTAGATAGATTTTCACATTATTTTCTTTAGTCTTCTGCATCTAGTAAACATATCTCTGAGTTTTTCTGAAGCCACAGATCTCCATCTTGGGCTTCGGAAGAGGATGAAGCAAATATGCAGGGCAGCTTGGCAGCACTTCTTCCTACCCAAACAGCAATACTCTTGGAGCATCTCGGGTGAGGTGAGGCTGTGAGGGCTAAAAGAATTAGCTGTTTGGGGAACATTCCACCAGGTGGTTGAGGGTCCTCCCCAATGTGATGAGAAGTCAGAAAGAACAGGTGAACCCAAGTATGAACCTTGACTTCAGAGCTGCCCTTGAGGTCTGGGACCAATTCTTAGTCAGCAGAGAGTGGTTATGCCCCCACTGCCCTGGATGAACAAGATAAGACATCCATGGTATCTTGGAGGTGAAGAATAAAATCAAGTTTCAAAAGACTACCTCAATATTATTTGAAAGAAAACTATATGTAAATAGGTATCTGATGATACCAAGAGCTCAAGTAGACGGAAAATGTTTTGGAAGTGATGATGGCAACACATGTCCATATGTGCTTGATACAACTGGTGTATGGATTGTTATAAGAGTTGTAAAAGGCCCCAATAAGATGATTTATTAAAATAAAAAAAATTTAAATACCTGAAAAAATTTGTCAAGCTGTTAATAGTGAGTTATCTCTAACAGGAAGAATTCTAGATGCTGTTTTTATACTGTTTACAAAATCTAGTACTGCCATGATAGATACCCCAAGTGGTTGGCTTTTACAAACAGAAATTTATGTCTCACAGTATAGGAAGCTAAAAGTCTACAGAAGTAGGATCATTTTATTATTTTATCTCCACAAGCTCTCAAGAGTAACCTCTTCTGATACTACAGTTAGACTTTTTCATTAAAAACAAAACAGCACTGTTAGCTTCTTACTAATTTCCTAACTTAAATTCTATAAAGAACCCCAAGTCTTTAGTTTGGATTAGAGACCTCTTATGTTCTATTAATAGGCATACATATAGAAATTAAACACACTAGTAAACTACCAATAGGTCAAGAAAACAAAAGAAAAATCACAAGTTTCTTATGTTGTTAGGGGCCATCAGGACAGCTCCATCCTGCAGCAACCTCAGGCACGACAGAGCGAGACACTGCCTGCTCCCGTGCCATCTCACAACTGTCCCTGTGCTCGAGCCCATTGTTGAAGCCACTGTGTCAAATTCCTCTCGCTGAGGGCCTTCCTTTTGTTCCCTGCTGCCCCTCTATCAAACACGATATCCTTTATCTAGGGACTAGTCTCTCCTGACATGTCCAAAGTCTGTAAAACAGAGTCCCCCCACATGCGTGCCTGTAAGGAGCACTCTTGGCCATATTTCTTCCAAGGCAGATGTGTTTGTCCTCTGGGCAGTCCATAGTTCTTTAAATATTCTCCACCAGCACCGCAATTCAAACTCATTGATTCTTATTTTTATCTTCCTTGTACTCAAATGAAAAAGAAAGTACAACATATCAAAACATATGGGATGCAGCAAAGGCAGTATCCAGAGGGAAACTTAAAGTAATAAAATGCCTACATGAAAAGAAGATCTCCCCTGCTCCCACTACCATGACTCGAATTCTATCTTGCAAGACTGGCTAGACCAGAGGAGGTACACTGGTGCAGATAGGAACTGAAAATACAGGGAATCCAGGATGGATGAGCCCTATAGGACCAGTGGTATGAGTGGCAAAACAGGGAGGGTAAAGGGAGAATGGGTAGGGAAGAGGGAACCGATTACATGGAACTGTGTGTGACCTCCTCCCTGGGGGACAGACAACCAAAAAGTGGATGAAGGGAGACGTCGGACAGGGCAAGATATGACAAAATACCCATTTATAAACTATCAAGGGTTCATGCGGGAGAGGGGAGCAGGGAGGGAGGGGAAAAATGAGGACCTAATGTCGGGGGTTTAAATGGAGAGAAAATGTTTTGAGAAACGATGTACAAATGCGCTTTACACAATTGATGTGTGTATGGATTGGGATAACAGTTGTAGGATCCCCTAATAAAATGTTAAAAAAAAAAAAAAGAAAAGAAGATCTCGAATCAACAGGCTGTCTCTACAACTTGAGGAACGAGAAAAAGAAGAGTAAACTAAGCCTAAATCTGCCAGTAGAAAAGAAGTAACAAAGATCAGAGAAGAAATAAAATAAAAAACAACAGGAAAATAAACAAAACCTGAAAAACTAGAAGTCAGGTCTTTGAAAAGATCTGTAAAATAACAAAACTTTAAAATTTTAAAAAATGTGTGCGACAAAACAACAAATATTATATGATCTCATGTATATGAAATGCCTAGAATAGACAAACTTACAGAAATCAACGTGGTTACCAGGGATAGCATGAGGGAAAAGGAAAGGCAAGTCCTTATTTAAGAAATATTGAATCTGTTTATGCTGATAGACTGAAAATTGGCAACTGATGGTGATGAGTGTAAGACATCATTAATATAATTGATGTATAAGCCACAGAATTGGCAAATGTTTTATATATATATATTTACACACACACATTTTATTGGGACTTTTTACAGATAAAACATTCCACAGTTCAATCACATCAAGCAGTATTGTACAATTGCTACCACAATCAGTTTCGAAACCTTTTCTTTCTTCTTGAACTCCTTGATATCAGCTCCGCTTTAGCCCCTCCCCCCCACCCTATTATTTATTTTTACAGTAAAAAACATGGGCTTTTTTTCCCTTCTACTTTGATTAGTGGTCATTCATGGCTTCCCATTAGAATAAAAATCAGTTGCTCTCAAGTCAGTTCTGACTCAGGAGAACTCATGTATGTCAACCAGAACTCTCCTTCTCGGGGCTTTCAGCGGTTAGGTGCCTCTCCCATCTCATCCCTGCCACTCTCTTCTCCTAGGGTGGCTGCCTCCTCCCTCCTTTAGGACTGTGGCTTACCTTAGCAACTCATTCCTGCTGACTGAAATGCTCTCTTCCAGTAGATCTGCTAATAAACCACAACATTGAAATGGTATGTCCCAATGGCCTTCCCTGACTCTTCTATCAAAGAGGGAATAGAGACATTATTTCAGCTTTTCAAATATAATTTTAATTATCAGATAAACACATATGCCTTTTTGGAGATCAATTTAATAGTATTAGAACTTATGTTGAATTATAAAATTGTACTTGTCAAAAAAATCCCTAACTCTTTTCCTATGTTTAAAACAAAAACAACACCCAAATCTGAAAATATATCTGAACAGCACTGGGGGAAAAAATAGTGGTAGAGGCAAAAACCACATGATCATCTCAACAGATACAGACAAGCATTTGACAAAAAAGACGCCAGCATCCTTTCATGAGAAAACAACTAACAAAGAAGGAATTCCCTCACTCTCATAAAAGACATCTAATGAAAAACTCATTGCTATATGCATTCTTAACGGTAAAACACTGAAATCTCTCCTCCGATGATAAAGAAAAAAACAAAATGTCAACCCTCCTCTTCTCTACTCAACATTGTATTAGAAGTCCTCGCCAGGACAATGAGGCAAGAGAGTAAGATAAAAAGCACTCAAACTGGAAAGGATGAATTAAAACTATCTCTAATTGCAAGTGACATGATCTTGTCATCTTGTAATAAAAATGTTACAAAATCCACACTAAAAAGAGAACATGGCAGGGCATAAAATCTGTTGTAAACTTTACCTCTAAACACTTGTAATGAACACCCTGAAAGTGAAATAAAGAAAAACAATTCCATTTACAATATACCACATATACGTAGTAGAAGCTGACCCGAATATCAGTGGAGGCACCTAATTACCACAAAAACGGTTCTAAAAATGTGCTGGAAAACTCGGCTTATACACGAGTATATACGGTAAGCATAAAGAATAAAATACTTAGAGGACTTTTTAAATGTTTTGATGTGAATAAGGTGAAGGTTTACAGAGCATGCAGCAGATTATCAGTTGTACAGTCAACAGTTCATTCCCATTTTGTGTTATTTTATTGATTGTAATCCCTTTGATGAAGAATCATTTATCCCTCATCTTCCTGTTTCCTGTTTCCATTCTCCTTCCCTTCTAGTCCTTCTGAACTTTGTCCTTGGGTAAATGCTGCCCTTTTGATCTCAAATGGTGGATTACCGTGTGTGCCCCTCCTAGGGTGACTGTTCCTTTTACAG